CGCCCCACGTCTGGCAGCACTGCTGAGACCTTCTTGAGCCGCGTGTGGGACTTGCGCTGCCGCACCATGACCCCGCCGATGCCTGAAGGGGCAGGGAAGGAGAGGGGATCATCACAGTGAGGCCTGAGGGGTCACAGAAGAGCCCAGAAGGGTTCAGGGCCTGTGGGACACTCACCAGGCCGGTATGGTTTGCGCTTCCTCTTCTTGCACTCTTCAGGGTCCTCCAGCCCCTTCCCTGAGTCCCCATCAGCTCCAACATCACGGTCGGGGCTGGCCGGAGCCTCGAGCTTGATCTCACACTCCATGTGCTCCACACCCACTGCAAGAGCGAGCACACGTTACTGGGGTCCCCTGACACCCCCACACTGCACCCACACCCCCAGCTCTCCCACCAGGAACACCCACCCTCGGCTTTGAGCAGCTCTTCGGTGTCCAGGTCACCGTCCTTCTTGTCCTCAGGGCCCAGGGGGTCACCCCCCTCCAGCCCCCCATCCCCGTTGAGGGTGCCCGGGCGGCCCTTGCGCTGCCGCCGCTTGTGCAGGGGTGACAGGGTCAGGTTGCGCAGCACGGCCATCCCCGTCTCCGTCAGCCACACGCCCTCAAAGCGGAAATACTGGGGCTCTGAGGGGACAAACACCAGCAGTGGGGACAAACTTGGTGCGTGGCCAAAAGAGAGCACAGCCCTGGGAACCCCACGGCCCTGGCACGGCCCCGCACATACCTGGATCCTTGGCTTTGATCATCTCTGCGGATGGCGCGGGCACTGTGGCAGGAAAGCAGAGGGGCAGGTTGAGTCTTCACACCTTTCAAATGCCCCCAGATCCCCCAGAACTCCCCCTGCCCCATGAGCTCACCGGGTTTGACCACATAGGGCTGGCAGGCGCTGCAGTCAAAGCCTTCATCCGCAGCCTGCTCCACCTCCTCCTCAGTGAAGAGGCTGTCGCACGCGGCGTGCAACCACCTGCGGGCAGCGGTGGGGAGAACCCATCACACACCACAGCCTCCCCTGGGTGACCCCAAATTGAAGCCCCTCAAGCCCAGGGCACGGTGCTCACCGATCGCAGTGCCGGCACTGGATGAGCAGGTCGTCCTCCACGTACTTCTCGCGGCAGAAGGGGCAGACGACGAGGCTGGCGCAGGGCGCGCAGTGGGTGTAGTTGTTCTGCCACTCGCAGTGGAAGCCAGGGGATGCAGCCCCGCACTGCACACAGCACACGCACCTGCAGAGAGGGGCCCGAGGGGTCAGCGCCAGCACCGAGCTCCCCCCGTGGCTCCCCTCGTGTCCCCCCACGCACCACTTGCACTTCCAGCCGCCCTTGGGCACGGTCTGCAGCGGCGGGTCCAGGCAGTAGGTGTGGTAGCTGATGTCGCAGTCGTCGCAGAGCAGCAGGCGCGAGGGGTCGGAGGCTTTGCCGCACACCTCGCACACGATGCACTCCACGCAGCGCCAGCCCTTCAGCAGCATCACCTTGGTGATCTGGGGATGTGGGAGCCACGTGAGCCCTGGGCATGGCCACGGGGGTCCCCAGGCCTGGTGTGGCTTTGGGGGACACCCCAGGGCTTGGCACGGACACACCGGAGCACAACAAACGTGCCAGGCACGACCTCGTGTGTCCCTGGGGGGCACAGCACAGTCCTGGAGTGGGGCCAGGTGTCCTGGGCCCCCTCCTCACCTTGCTGTTGACACAGTAGGGGTGGTAGCACTGGGAGCACTGGGAGCAGGCGAGGAGGTGCCCCTCGGCCCCACGCCCGAAGCTGCCGCACACCACGCACATGTCCTGGGGGAAGAGGTCGTGAGTGAGGAGACAGCGGCTGGCAGAGGACAGACAGAATCTGTCCCACCCTGTCCATCTGTCCATCCTGCCATGCCCTGGTTACCTGCATGAGCACAAACTTGTCAGTGTTGGAGAAGAGGACAACCGTGTTCTGCATTGTATCATCATCGTCCTCGTCCTCCTCCTTGCTGGGCGAGCTCTCCACGTCAGCGAGCTGAGGACAGAGCGGGAGGCTCAGCACTGAGGACGCCCTCTCTGTGCAGTCTGGGGGGCACCAGGAACACACAGGGGCAGCAGAACCTCTCCCCAGGGGGAAGCCCTGTACCTGCCCTATGCTTTTGTGGTGAAGCCCCCAACTCAGCAAAGGCCCAGGCAGTTCCACCTCCCATGAGACCCCAGTCCACCCCACACTAAGGGCTCTTAAGTCTTTCCAAGGGAGGGCTGATGGGGAAGGGGATGGGGGAGACTCTCAGCCTAACAGCTCAAGGATCCCCCAGACCCCACCTCTGCCCCAGCCCAGCCTTACTGCTAAGGTGTCAACAGATGAGGTGGTCGACTTCAGGCGCGCACGGCCCCGGCCTCGGCCCCCGTGGGACCCACCTCGGGGGCGCCTCCGCCCAGGGAAGCTGCTACTGCGACCCTGTGGCCAAGGGGAGAGGGGAGTTACAGCACCAGGGGGCCCAGAGGGACCCCCATGCCAGGGCAGCAGAGGGGCACTGCCCCCATTCCAGCCCAGCACAGGCTCAGCCCTCACCCGCTTCCTGCAGGGGCAGCCCAGGAAGGGGATGTGGCCCCAGCAGGGTGCTCAAAATGACAAGTCCCCCCAAAACTGGGGTGAGGGGGGGGTCCCTCTGTACCTGCTTGACACGGGAGCGCCCCGGGGAGCTGCGGCGCCGGCTCTTGTCCCCGTCACCCTTGGCGGCTGGCTCGAAGAGCAGCGAGTCATCAGTCTCAGCACCCAGCGGCAGCGACCCGGTGTCCTCCTTCTGCAGACTGGCGTCAGCCGAGGCCGGGCCCAGCTCAGGGGACAGTGACCCCCCGCCCTCAGGGTCTGGGGACCCCAGCAGCGGCTCCGAGCCAGGGAAGCTGCTGCTCGTGTCCCCCTGGCTCAGGTTGGAGATCTCGTTGAGGATGTCGGGCCGTGGGCGCAGCGCGGGGGGCTCGGGGCACCCCTCGTCCCCGTGCCCCAGCAGCTTCTCGCCGGTAGTGCACACCTCCATGGGGGTCTCAGGGCCCAGCTCCTCCTGTTCCAGGAGCAGGGGGGACCCCGAAGGAGACCCCTTGACTTCAGGGTCCCCCCCGGCTTGGCCTTCTTCCAGCGCATCCTCCTCGCTGAGTGGCGGGGAGCTTCCACTGGTACCCTCCCTCTCCAGCCTCGGCGCCTCTTCTTCCTCCTCTTCCTCCTCCTCAGGCAGGCCCGGGAAGGGCCCCAGCTCAGGGGCTGGGCTGCCGTGGGGGGCATCTCCAGGGGGGCTGGCTGGGGACTCCCCCTCGCCACCGGCCATCTCCATCTCCTCATCCTCGGGTGGCTTGGCGGGGGCCAGGGTGACAGCAGGGGAGCCCAGGGGTGGCGGCGGGGAGCCAGGGGGGTCGGTGTCCATGGCGGTGCCAGGGCTGCCGGGGGGCTCAGGCAAGGCTGGGGTGGGGGGCTCGAGCACCTCGTCCTCCTTGGCATCAGGGGAGGGTGCTGGGGTCCGTGCAGGTGAGATGGCACGGAGAGCTGGGGGTAGAGAAGGGGGAAAAGAGTGACATCACAGCCCCCCCAGAGACACCCACCAGCCCCCAGTCCCAATCCTGGTGTTTCTCCAGACCCACCTGGGGGAGCTGAGGGTGGGGGTGTCATCTCAGGGGGCAGCGAGGGCTCTGGCTCCAGCTCCATCTCCTCCTCAGGGAGCACCTCTGGAGCCAGGGCTGGCGCTTCCTCTGCCACTGTCACCTCGGGGAGGAGACCTGGGGGATGGGGATGGGGTGAGGGGGTGTATGAGGGTCCCCTCCACTCCCCTGTGCCATCGAGCCTGGAATGAGAGGCAAGACTCCCCCTCCAAGCTCCCCACATACCCCAAAACAGGGCACCAGCACAGGAAAAGAGCAGGAATACGGGGATCAGACAAAGCCAGTGCTGAGACAAGCCCCTGCTGCAGGACCCCCACACCCACTGGAGACAAAAAGCAGGGGAAAGAGGACAGTGCAAAGTCCTCAGATTACCTGGTGGTTTCAGGTCCTCCTCGAGGGGCAGCTCGCTGAGGACCGGCTCTTCAGGGGGCAACTCAACAAGGGGGGGCTCTTCAGGGCTCAGCTTGTCAGGGAGCAGAACTTCAGGAGGAGGAGGCTCCTTGGGGAGCAGCTCGTCGGGGGGTGGCTCCTCGAGGGGCAGCTCATCTTGGGGCAGCTCCTCGGGGGGCAGCTCCTCGGGGGGCAGCTCCTCAAGGGGTGCTTCATCGGGGGGTGCTTCATCAAGGGGCAGCTCATCGAGGGGAGGTTTGGGGGGCGACCCATTGAGGGGCAGCTCATCAGGGGGTGATTTGTCAATGGGCACTACTTCGGGGGGCAGCTCATGGGGGGGTGACTTTTCAAACACTGGTTTCTCAGGGGGCAGCTCAGCAAGGGGAGGGACGTCAAGGGGCAGCTCATTGTGGGGTGGTTCACTGGGGGGCAACTCCTCGGGGGAGGGTCTGTCAGGGGGCAGCTCAGCAAGGGATGGTGTCTCGAGGGGCAGCTCCTCAGAGGGAGGCTCCTCGGGGGGCAGCATGAGAGGAGGGGGCTCCTCGGGGGGCTGCACATCAGGAGGCTGAATGTCAGAGGGCTGCGTTTCGGGGGGCGGCTGATCGAGGGGAAGTTCATCAGAGGGCAGTTCTTCGGGGGGTTCCTCCTCACTGGGGGGCACCTCCACAGAGGCCAGCTCGACAGGAGGAGACTCAGCATCGCCTGGGGGAGCCTCCTTGGGGTCTGGGGGTGCCTCTTTGGGGTCTGGGGGTGCCTCTTTGGGGTCCACGAGGGGCTGCGTCTCCTCATCACCCCCCACAGGCTCCAGCTCAGGTGGGGGCACGGGCGCATCCGTCGGCTCACTGGGGACGGGGGACTCTGACCTGGGATGGGGGAACCTGGGTGAGGGGGCAGCACTCGGGCCACCCCGTCCCCAGGGCTGTGGGACACATCCCCCCAGCCACAAAGGGCCTGACCCCCTCTCCAAACCAGCACCCCCATCCCCACTCACATCTGGGCGGGCGGGTCAGGCTGTGGTGAGTGTTCTGGCGCCGTGGGGACATCGGCTGTGGCACGGCCTCGCTGGCAGTCCCCGCACACCGCAGACCCCGGTGTGGAGTCGAGCCCGGCGGGGTGCCGGCCGCAGTCTGAGCAGACCCAGCAGTTCTGGGGGGGAAGCAGAGATGTGTCAGGGGGTGCAGTGGGGGACAGGCACCCCGCACCCCTGAGCGAGAGCGGGACATACCTTGCACTTCCAAGAGCCGGTGGGGGGGCCCTGGGTGGCTGGCTCCATGCAGGAGGGGTGGTAGCCCTTGTCACACGCCTCGCACACCAGCAGGGCAGAGTCCTGGCCAGGCTGCCTGTGAGGCGCAGGGGCAAGCGAGGGTTGGGACCCTTCCCTGGGTGCATATCCCCCCTCCCCACCCCAGGGCTGGGGGGCTCACCTGCAGGTTTGGCACACTTTGCACTCAGGGCACTGCCAGCCCGAGCGCTTGCGAGGCGTCAAGGAGATGTCCAGGCAGGCCCCGTGGAAGTGCTGCCCGCAGCTGGTGCAGAACACCAAATCCCGCAGGTCGCCCGGCCCATCGCACACCGAGCACCGCGCGTCCTCTGTCAGCCACGAGAGAAGGGGGTCAGGGCCACCTCCACCTGCTCTACCCCGCCAGGAGGGTCCCAGCACCCAGGGGTGGTGTCCCCAGCCCCACGCACCCATGTCCACGGCCTCAGCCACGTGCTCGGGGCAGAGCAGCCGCAGGGTCTTCATGGACTGGAAGCAGCCGCTGGCGGCGGCGCAGGGCAAGTGGTAGAGGCGGGAGCAGCCGGTGGCCGCCCGGCACGGGATGGTGGCCCCCGCCCGCCCGCAGCGTTCACATTTCTGAGGGCAGAGGAGTCCGGGGGGTCAGCGCCGCTGCAGGGGAGCAGAACCAAGCCCCTGCCATCCCCCCGGACCCCTCAGGATCTGCTCACCTGTGAGATCCCTGAGAAAACAGCTCTGGCCACACCGGCCACCTCGGGCCCTGCACCAGTCGCCCAGGCCGCACACCAGTGGTGCACCCAGCAGTGCCCTGTGGGGAGGGGACGTCAGGGACAGCTTGGGGACACCCAGGCGGTAGGATGGGGACCCCCGAGCCGTGCCCACGCTCACCTGTCGGCTCGAAGAGCTGCGCTGGGGTCACCCCCTCGGAGAAGCCAATCTGTGCCAGGCCATCACCCCCCAGCTCTGGCTCTGGGGGGAGCTGGTTGGGCCCTGGGGGAGGCTGGCTGGGCCCATCAGGGGGCTCGTGGCCCACCAGCCGCTCGGGCCAGTCAGGCACCGGCTCAAAGCGCTGCAGCTCCCGCTGCCCGTGTAGGCTCCAGTCCCCACAGTTGCAGAGGGCACAGCGGCGGCCCAGCGGGCTGGAAGAGGCCAATGGAGAATGTCAGGGATATTCAGGACCCCCCAACAGCTCCACACCGCCCCCGAGTCCTCCCACCCTCACCTGCCAGCCTCGGGAGGTTCCTCCATGCCCACGCTCTCCAGCTCTGGCCCCGCAGAGGCTCCTTCAGGGGGTTTCAGGGGGTCCCCCTCGGCGCTGCCCATCTCCTCCGAGGCCATGACCCCATCGGCTGCGGGGAGAGGGGGTGTCACCACCACAGGGGAAACAGGGACAGCTGCCCAAAGTCCTGCCCTGGCTCACCTGGCGCGGCTGCGTCCTTCTCCTCGCTGGGCACCTTCTGTTCATCCATCCTGCCTCCGGCGTTCCTGGGGGGCCACAGCTGTAGGGGGGACATCTGTCAGCACCAGGGATGATGACACCTTCCCTGGCACCCCTGCAGCCCCCCGTGACCCTCTACCCAAGGCACAGGGCAGCATCCTCCCATCGTTCTCCCCAAGGCAATTTGCAGACTCTGGGGCTGGGAATGTCCCCCAGGAGCAGGGGGTGTCTCCCTGCTCCCTGGGGGTCCAGGAGACCCCCCTGGCCTCACCCATCACCCTCCATCCCCCAGGTCCTCCCCAAGTCCAGACAGATACGCCCTAACTTATCTGGGGCAACCAAACCCCCAAGTGACCTCAATTAAAGTGTTGGGGAAGGCGGATCAGTGACCCGGCTCTACCCCACACTGACAACCCAGGGAGTCACCAAGACCCCTGAGGAGTCCTCAGGACCCTCCCAGGAGCTCACAACAAATCTGGGACCCCCCAGTGCCTCCCACGTGTGGGATCTTCAGGGGGAATTTGGGGTACAGCAGAAAACGGGGTCCCCACCACCAGCACCCGCCTGTGCCCCTATTTCCTCAGGCCCAGCAGCAATCTGGCACAGCACAGCGGGGTCCCGGGATTGGTACAGGGGGAAGATTCACCCCAAAACACCACGCAGAAACCGGGGGGGGGCCATGCCCTGATCTGCAGCCACCCCCTCCCACCGCTGCCTCACATGCGCCCCAAAAACCCGAGGGGGCTCCGGCACCACGGGGGCAGCGGAGGGGACCCCAAAGCTGCCCACGAGCCACGCACGGGGTGAGGGGGGCGATCGGGAGGGGTCCCGGGGCACGGGGGGGCCCCGAACGCACAGTGCAGGGCACCAGGGAGGGGGAGACGCGCTGGGGCAGCGCCAGCCCCCCAAAAACCCGAGACGGCGCGGGGAGGGCGGGGGAGCCCCCGGGGGGGTCCCGGCGGCGGGGCACGAGCGCCGTGTCCCACCCAGCAGCACCCCCCGCCGGTTCCCGGTGGGCCCGGGGGTATTCGGGCCCTCCCGGGAAAGGCTCCGGGGCCGGCGGGAGGCCCGGCCCGCGCCCCCGGGTGGGCCGAACCACCACGCGGGGACACCCCCCCCCACACACCCTCCCCGGTGCGCCCGGGCCACGCTTCCCCCGCTCCCCGGTGCAACCGGGGGGTCGAGCCGGCCAGGCCCCGATCCCCGGCCCACCGCGGCCTACGCTGGCACCGGCACCGGGCCCCGAGCGACGGGCCCGGCCGTACCTGCGCCGCAGCTGCCCGGGCCCCACGGTTACCGGACACAAAGGCGTGGGAGCCGCGCTTTGGGCTCGGCCCCGGTCAGGCCTTACCGGGAGCGGCGGCACGGCGGAGGCGGCGCGGCCCGAGCCCGCACGACCACGGGGCCGCTCCTTCCGGGGCCGCCGGGGCCCTTCCCGCCCGCGCGGGCCCCCGGCGGGGCCGTTTGCACCCCCGCGCCCCCCGCCCGGTGCTCACCCCCGCGGCCGCCCTACGCCGACGGGCCTCGGGGCGCGGGGCGTTCGGTGCTCCCCGGCGCGGCCATTTCCAGAGGAAAGTAGGTCCCGCCGCCCGCCCCCGCCCCGCCCCGCCCGCCCCGCCGGGGCCGCCGCCGCGTTGGGTCCTAGGGGGGAGCCGCGGACCGGGGGGCGCCGCCGCTCCCGCACTACTTTGGGCGGCGGGGGCTGCGGGCGGAGGGAGACGGTGCGCGGCGGGCGGGCGCTGCGGCCGCGGGGGGAGTGCGGGGGGTGTGACGGCGCGCGCGCGGCCGCAGCGCACGCTGCCGGGCGGGGCGGGGGGGAGATCCCTCCGCCGCGCTTAACCCCGGCGGCGCCGGGGCGGGAGCGCACGTGGGCACCGAGGGGGCGGGGCCGGCGGCGCGAGGCTCCGCCCCCTCCCGGGACCGGCACCGGGGCGGCCCCGAAGGTGGACGGAGGGAGCCCTCCGGGACTGCCGTAGCCACGGGATTAGAAGAAGGAAGGGTGGGCTCCGGGATGGGGTCCCCCGAGCAGCCGGCGGGAGCGGGACTGCCCGCTGTGCCCCAGACGGGTGTCTCCGTTATCAGCCTCTGTGCCCGGTCCCAGGGTTCCCCGTAGCAGCCGCCGGGACCGGTCCCGATGTATCCGGAAGAGCTGCTGTGTCCGCTGCCGGTGTCCCTGGAGTAGCTGCTGTACCGGTCGTGGAATCCCCGGTAGCAGCCGCTATGCCCGGTCCTGGGGTCTCCGGTAGCAGCCGCCGAGGACGGTCCTACTCCCTGCTCACGGCCACCACGTGCTGCTGATGGGCCACGGTGCTGCCCGATTCCGGTATCCCCGGAACAGCTGGTCCTGCGCGGTCACCGCGAGCCCCACGCACACCCCTCGACGCCGTGGAGCTCAGACCCTGCGGGGTACACGGGACCGGTACCCCCGGTGTGGGGTGACAGCAACCCCTCGGACCCTGAAAACCCCCCCGGGACCCCCCAGCCCCGGGGAGGAGTGGGGGGGGGGGGGCAGACCCAGGGCCCCCGGGAGCCCAAACCCCGAGATCTGTGAGGGCTGTTGAGGGGGTTCAGCCCCCCTGAGCCCCTGGGCTGCACTACCCTGGCCCCAGCATCCCAATAGCCCACCTCACACACCCCCAGCAGCTCCTGCTCCTCTTTACCACCATAATTGAGCAATTAGCAATAATTAGTCCAACTGGGTGGAGATAAGCCACAAGGGGAACCGCAGCCAGAGCCCCCCCACACGCTCACGAAGTGGGAGCTGAAGTTTTCAGGGAGAGAAACGGAGGGGACAGGGCTGAAGAAGCCCCCAAGGGTCCCAGTGAGGTCCTTGGGGTGCTCAGCCCCACATCACAGCCAAAGCTGGAGGGACCCCCATGCTGGGCTGTTGGAGGGAGCCTCACATGCTGCCTCCCCCCCAGCAAGGAGCAGCCCCCCCAGTGCAGGGGTTTACAGACAAAACAAAGTTTAATTGTTTCAGCCCCGACTCCCACGGGTCCAGCCCAGCCGGACTGCGGCCCCGCGCTGGGAACAACACCCACATTGAGCCCTGGCTGCCAGAGCAGGAATGGCCCCGACCTGTCCTTGTGCATGCTGGGGACAGCAGGGATGAGCTGGGGGGCTCCCGGCTGGGACAGAACCCCCAGCCCCCTGTGAGCCCCACAGCCTGTGCAAAATGAGGGGTTCCAAACCACAGCGGGACCATGTGGCTTCCCCAAAGCCACTGCTGTGGTCTGGGGAAGGGTCTGATGCATCCAGGGATCCTGCCCCATCCCAGGGATCACATCAGGCAGCAGCTGTGGATCTGCCAGAGGAATTGTCCATTCAGTCAACCTCAATGAGCTTCATGAAGATCTCCCATGGGGTCCTGGTATAGTTTGGGAGAGAACTTCTAAATGGTGGTCCCAGGACACATGGTCACCTGAGGACGAGGGGACATCAGTGGCAGCACATTGGGAACCCCGTTCCCAACCCCAGGTGGGTTCTGTCCCCCAGACCTGGCTCTCCTTGGCTGAGGACTCGAGGAAAATGGCTCCCAATGACTCCGCCAGCTTCTTCCCTTCATCTGTCCTCACTGCCCAGCTGAAGACACAGCAGAGCAGAGGACAGGCAGGATGTGCCACTGGGACACACACACATGTAGGACCCCTAGAATCCCCCTTCCCCCTGCAGGGCCAGGTCTGCCTTGCTCCCCACCAGCACCACGGGCATGCTGCAGGCACAGGGGGGATCAGGGCCCACCCTTGGCCACCCCTCCCAGGAGGGACAGCACCTATCGGGTCTTCCCCAAGCTCTCGTACAGCTTTTTGTGGAGGGTTGTGACCGCCTGGAAGCTGTGGGGACAAGGGGACATCCAGGCACTTCTTCCCCCTGTCCTGGGTGATTCATTCCCAGGTCTCAGGAGCTCCTCAGCTCCTCAAGGATGTCACCAAGTAAACCAGGACGTGGCCGTGGATGCCAGTGGTGCAGGATGGTGTTCTCATCCTGGGGAGGAGAGGGGACAAAGCCAGTAGCAGGGGTGGCTGGGAGTCCAGCGGCCTCACAAGACCCCCCCCCAAACTGCCCCAGCATTACCTGCCCAGCCATGTCCACCGGCTTCAGCTGGAACTCATCTTTGCCCACCACCACCACCTTGCTGTAGGCTGCAAGGGTGGCACCAGGTATGGGGGGCTGCCTGGGACCCCCGAATCCTCCCCTCAAGGCTCAGACCCACTTCCACCTCATTCCAAGGGCACCTCAGCCCCCAGCACCTAAGAATTGGTGGGCCAGGGAGGTTTTACTTGCGTGGAAGGAAATGACACGGCTGGGTGGTCCCGGCACCACCCCGGGGCAGGGGACGGAGCTGGACGGAGAGACAGGAACCCCTTCCCGGGGGGGCTCCATGGGACACGGCTCTGTGGAGGCTGCCCAGGCTGAACACGGCCCTAGACCCCATCCTGGGGTGGGGACCCACCGTGCTGAGCCCCAGGGGAGCAGCCCCGCTCCCACGCCCCCCGGGCAGAGACCCCCGGAGGGCAGGGCCGCCCTCCGCAGAGGGCATCGCAGGACGCCCCCAGGCCGAGTCCCCCCGCGGTGTCCCACGGCGCGGTAACCGGGGATGGGAACATTGCGGGATGGGAACCGGACCGGCGGCGCGGGCGGGCGCGGCAAACGGCGCAATAAACGTGCCGGGGGGCGGGGCCGCCGCCACTACACCGGCGGCCGCACGTGACCACAACACCGCCCTCCTTCTCCCATTGGCTGCGCCGGGAGAAGGGGCGGGGCTAAGCGGCCGCGCAGGCGCCTTGGCCGGATGGGCTCTCCATTCATGAAAACGGAGGGAAGGGCCGTGGCCACGTGGTGGTCGCGCCTCTGAGCGTGAATGGAGGGGGGAGGAGTGTCCTGGTCCTGACCCCCTCCCCCACCGTGCTACCCCAACCTGTCCCGGCCCGGAGACACCCGAGAACACTCACACCCACCTCCTGCTCTCCGAGACCCCCACCGCAGCCTCCCCCAGCACTAGGACCCTCAGGCCCCCAGGGATGTTTTAGGATGCCTGACCCCTGTCCCAGGGATCCCTGGCCTCTCGCGATGTCCAACTCAAGCCTCAGGGCCCCCCAGCCTGGAAATACCCCAATTTTCTACATTGCCCAACTCCAGCCCAGGGACCCACACCCCTCTGGGGATACCCCAGCCCCTGAGGGCTGCGTTGCTATTCCCCTCACCAGAAACTGAGTCACGAGCTTGTCTCCATCTCGCCAAAATTTGGAGGGAAAAGTGAGATTTTTGCCCATCTGAGGTCCAGAAAGGCCAGGGGGAACTGGGCTCCCTACTCCAGCACCGGGAACCCTCAGAGGCCCAGGATGTCAAACCCCCAAGGATACCCCAGACCCCTGCAATGCCCTACCCAGTTTCAAGACACTCCAGGTGGATACTCCAGCTGCTCGGGATGCCCAGCCCCAGCGACTCCCAGCCCCCTCAGATGGTCAGTTCCAGCCCCTCCAGACTCCTCAGCCCAGCCTCACACATCCCCCACTTCCAGCCACAGTTTCAATAGGGCCATATTTCTTTATTTTCCCAAACAATTAAATAGTAGTATTTCTTTTGGTTTTTTAAACTGAAGTGGTTAAAAGCAGGCTGCCCCCTGCCCCGTGGGGTGAGCCTCGCTGCTGGGACAGGCAGGCATGGGGGACATTTATATTACCATTTATAAATAGAAAAATAAAACTCTCAAGCAGGGTGGGTTAGCGGTTAGCATAGTTAGAGTTGGACCTGGCACGGGGTGCCCATGCCCACGGCAGACACCCGGTGCCCACGGCAGACACCCGGTGCCCATGGCAGACACCCGGTGCCCATGGCAGACACCCGGTGCCCACGGCAGACACCCCGTCCAGCCGCCCTGTGGTGCAGGGACAGGGACACTGTGGGTGACAGGGACAGACCCAGAGCAGGGGGACGGGCAGGAACTGCTGCCAAGTGCTTGGTGTTGGGGTGTTTTTGGCATCCTCCCAGCTGGATTTGGCCCCAGGACAGGGTTTGGTGGTGCCAGGATGTGGCTTGACAGGCACCAACCCCAGCCCCAGCGCAGTGGTTAATAAAGCAATAAATACCAGGAGAGCATTTGGGGGTCCGGGTGTGAGGACCCAGCTGTGGGGGGCTCTGGGACACAGGACAGGGCTGAGCCAGGTCCCTGGGCCACCCCGTGACACTCCATCACCCCAGGGCAGGGCTGAGCCCCAACCTCCCCACAGCACGGGGGTGCCCCTGTCCCTCCTCCCCGGGTCCGAGGGGTGCCCAGGGCTGGAGCCCCCCGTTTCCAGTGTGCGGCATCGCCTGCCATGTGCTAACTGGGGGGGCAGGAACCCCTACACCTGCAGGGTCTCCTGGCCCAGCACACCCCCAGCCAGGCGGTAGAGCAGGCGGGAGTACCAGTGCATGCCCACCTCCGGCACCGTCCCATTGCCCACCTCGGGGTGGGCCGGCAGCAGCGAGAGGAGCCCGTGGAACAGGCGGAGGGGGGCAAAAGCCCGGTGGGCCCAGCGGTGGCTCTCCAGGACGGCATAGCAGGATGCCAGCACCCCATTGACCAGCAAGGTGCCGTGGGAGGTGAGAGGGGCAAAGACCCCCACGCCGTCCTCCCGAGAGACCCTCAGCACCCTCGTGGGGCGCAGCCCCTGCCCGCCAGCCCCGTGGGCCAGCACGGCGTCACCCGGGCGCACGCGGCGAGCGAAGATGGGCAGGAAGGCGGCGGAGCCGTTGGCCGCCCCGCGGGCCGCGAATACCAGATGGGACGGGGTGAGGAGCAGCCGGTGCGCTGGGCTGGCCGTCTCGATGGCCACGAAGGAGGCGCGTTGGCGCAGGTCCCGGTCGAGGAAGAGCAGCACCTCGGTGGGCACCAGGCGCCCGCCTGGCTCGGCGCCCAGCACCCAGTCACCCTGGCGCAGCTCAGCCAGGCCCCGGCGCTCGCCGCTCTCCAGCATCACGGTGGCGTGGCCGGGAAAGCAACCACCGGTGCGGACGGCCAGTGAGTTATCTGGGAGGATGGAGAAAGTTGTCGGTGTCCCCACCAGCCACCTCCACCGGGCCACCACCTCCAGAGGGGAAACGGCAACCCCAGACCCCCAAACCACCCCCGGAACAAAGCGGGTATTTTCCAAAGCTCCCCCAGTTCCTGCATGCAGCTCCTGAATGCTGCAGGGCCCCTTTGTCCACCCTGCACTGATGCCCTTTGTTCCGGCCTGGAACGGTGACATTTATGGCCATTTTCACTTTCTGTCAATTGTCATTTCTGGATGGGAATTGCTGGCTGGAGCAACTGCGGGGCTGGGGCCTGCAGGGCTGGGGCCTGCATTGCTATTCCCCTCACCAGGAGCTGAACCACAAGGCTGTCTCCATCTGGCCAAAATTTGGAGGGGAAAGTGGGGCTTTTTCCTGTTGGGGAGCCAGGTAGGGCGGGGGGAGCTGGGCTGGGGCCAGACACCAACCAGAGCAATAATCCCACATGGATCCAGGATATCAAGGGGGAGCAGCAGGGGCTGCAAGGCCGTGGGCTGGGATGATTATGGGGATGGCAGCCCTGGTGGCAGCCCCTTCTGTGTGGTACCTGCTTTGACAGAGACATGGATGTGTGCCTTGGACTCATAGTAGACCCAGTCGAAGCCGGCCTCCACGGCCAGGCGTGCCAGCATGCCGTACTTGTGGCGGTCGCGGTCGGACGTGGTGATATCCAGCGCCCGGCCCTCGTAGTGCAGAGAGTCGGGGAGGTGATGCCCATCCTCATCCCAGCCCTCTGTCACCCGCAGCTTCACCCCCGGCCACATGTTCATCACCGCGATGGCCAGCGAGTTCACACGCTCCTTGCAGCGCTGTGGGGACACGCCAGCACCGGCGTCACCCTCTCCACAACACACAGGGACCCCACAGGAACAGACAGACAGACAGACAGACACCAGGCCTGTGAAGGGCTTTGAGCCCCAAAGGAGCTGCTGTGGGGGCAGATGCGGTGCCCCCCAGGGTGCAGAGAGGGTCACGGCCGAGCTGCCCCCCTGCCTGGATGCAGGTTGAACGTTAACGTGCCCCGGGGTCCCCTGGTGGAGCTGCTCCAAGTGCGGCCGGGCAGAACAGGCAAGGGACCGGGACGGGCACCGGGACGGTGTCACCTTCCCCGCAGCCACGGCAGTGACTGATTAACCTGATGGGGAGGCTGTGAAGCAGAGCTGGGGGGAAGCTGACCCTGAAGCAGCCCCGAGTCTGGGCTGATGGAGAGAGCAGGGTGTCCCAGGCAGCTCCGGGTCCCTCTCCCCATCATCATCAGCATCACCATGGGGTGCAGGGGTCGGAGCTGTCCCCCCCGCAGTCGCTGAGGTCACAGCGTCCCTCAGTGCCCCAGTGTCCCCCTGTCCCCCGCTCAACAAAGCGGTTCCCGGGAGCGCGGGGCCGCGGGGGCGGGAGTGCGGGGCGCGGGCCCGGGGCAGCCG